TCAGGAAGAATGTGTGTCAAGAGCTGGCTGTGTCTTTAACTGCCTCCTCTCTTTTTGCACAGCAAAGGAAAGTTGATGTCTTACAGTCTCTCTGATGCTTGTGGTAACTTTATGTGGATTCCTGAAGGTTTACAGTGGCAAACCTTTGTCATAATACAAAGTGTTGGCGCTGAACAGATGCCTTGTGTGTGTGTAGTGTGAGTACAACTTTACAAAGGTACATTTAAAACCTAATAACTGTCAAAAAGCAGCCAGCTTCAGGTGTAAATCTGTACAAAGTTAAGAGTTTCAGATAAGAAATGATAGAAGATAAAAAGACTGGGAAATTCCTTCAAAACTGAAACAGTGTTGACACATTTGTACAGTAGTTTGTCTGCCTTTGGTTGCTAGCTCTATATTTTCCATTAGTACTGTGATGCCGGTCATTAAGTTGATGACTTGTATAGAGCTGTGGGTTCTGTGGTAAAAGAAAGATCTGATGTCTTTCATACAAGCTTGTTTGCTAAAGAGAGCATGCATATTGGACCTGGCCCAGAGAAGTGGCCAGGTTATCATTTCGGCTATACAAGCTTTACTTTGGCTGTTATTAAAGCCACTGAAGTTTTATACAGTCAAGAAACTTTTCCCATGCAAATCCATTGTTTATAAGTAGGGTGTAGCCTGCATTCCTGTGCTGTCCTCCTGTGTGGACAGTATTCTGAAAAAATACACAGACTGGACTACAGGTCAGCTTTTGTCTTTGAGGCAGCTTTCTGTCCTGCTCTTGTCTTGGAATGAATCAGTGAGTTAGGGCTCCCTATGGATTAGTCTGCCAGGTATTATTTTCCCATAATAAGCCTGTTTCCTATTGCTTCATCCATGTATATAATGACATCAGTGGGCTATGAGTAACAATGACATAATGAAATTTGACTGGATTGTCTTTAGGTGCTTTAGTTGACTCACCTTTATCAAAAAAGTTATACTAAAGTAAAACACCAGACACTGAGAATATAATTCTATTAAACTACAGTGAGTAATTCCCACCCCAGAAAAATTGTACTGTGGCCCAATTTTAAAAAAAAAAAAAAAAAATTGATTGATAGCATAGCATTACGAAAAACACACATTGTATCTGCTGTAACACCTCCTCACTACGTGTTGCAATTGAGGAAATGTAAAAACTGCATAGCAAAGAGGTCTAAAGTGTTTGCTTAGAGTAATGCATACATGTCTAAAATATATAGANNGTTAAAATAGTTAGCTAAAAGTAATCTATAAAAAATATAAATATAAACCTTGACAGTTTAATTTTATGAAGTATGTAAGTAATAGTGTTAAATAACATCCACCAGGGTGGTGTTGATGACGGGGCTGTGGGTGGTGCAGTAGACAAAAAAGGTTGGGAACTACTGAACTACAAGATTCATGACAGATAAAAAGGGCAAAAAGTTTGCTCACACATTTAAAACTGTCTTTGAACTGTCTTGGCTGTTTCAACTTCTGCATTTGTAGTATATTGCATTTGTTAGTAGGTCTAGAACAGTTATTATGTAATCTAAAGTAACTGCTTATAATCATTGGCTGTCTTTGCGGAGAAGTAAATATTTAAAAATGGGATCATCGTGGAGTAGTAGTAAGTGGAAATGATGGCATTAAATCTGATACTGTTTGAGTGCAAAGGGGATGTCTGGCCGTTGAACCCATTTAACGTTTTTTTTTTTTTTTTACCCATCGTCATCTCTCAAGAGAGTTTTGGATATTCGCCAGGCTTATGAGTAACATTTCCTGAACAATCAAGCATTATGAAGAAGGATATGGGGCACGGTCAGGAAGTGACATACTTGGCCTTTGTTGAGACAGATCTTCCTCTCGTAGCTAGTAACAACTCCCAATGGGCAACAAAAGGTCAGAGAACACTCTAGTGACTGGAAACCGAGGACTCTTTGTTTACATGCCCTAGAGGAGCAGAAATAATATTGCCAGAATGAATTAGCAGGTAGGACTGGTATAACTGCATACTGAGCGAGACAGATGTGCTGTCGTCAGTAAAAACAAAAGCCATGCGTATGCTCACATATTTGTCTTACATTCTGTCCATCAACAAATCAATTGTGATAAATGTGACACTGAGCGCCTTTAGGACAACCACCAAAAAAAGCTCTCTTATCCATGTCAATCTAATGCAAATGGAAGTTGATGTTTTTCCCCTTCCAAAACCACCTTTCCAATCATGTAATGAATCAGTACTGGCGCATTACATGTTATTCAGAGCCCTCCTCGTGTGTTTTGGTGCTGCACATATCTACTTGCTCCACTGGGTATTTCTGAAGAAATAACCATAAATAGGTAAAGACACCTTGGGGTTGTTTTGGCAGTGTAAAACGCCTACCAAAACAAATATTCTTGGTTTGCATTCACATGATAGGAGTAATGATTTTTAAAGTATGACTCACATCTGTGTGTTCAGTCCCCCTTGTTGCTTAAAATAACACAAGCAGCTTCCAAACAAAGCAGTCTCCATGTTCTGGGTCTCCACGGACGAGCTTTAGCGTACTGTTTAGCACTCCTTTTATAGGTAGTGACCTAGGTGAATTATGTAAGCGTGTGCATAGGCCTGAAATCAACATCCAAACTCAGGATCTTTTTTGCCTTCATAAGGCAATTTTCGGGCTTTGGAGTGACATTCAGTTCAAACTCCAACTCTAAGATTGATCAGGGAGCATCACAATTTACTGCTGCCTCAGCCTAGACATGTTTTGGTATTTTGTGCCATGAGTATTTCATGGACTTCATAAACAAAACAAGCCTCATCTTGAAATACTCAACTTTTTAACTAGAGCTGCAACGATAAGTCACTTAATTGATTTCCACTATTACCTGCCAACTATTTTGATAATCAATTAATTGTTTTGAGTAATTATTCCCTATTAGTTCCCTTAGTCCTCTTTGCATTGTGAACAAAACAAGACATTTCAGGACGACCTTCACCTTGGACTTTGGAAAACAATGATCAACATTTTTTTTTTTACAGATTTCTGACATTTTATGGACCAAACAACTAAACGATTGATTGAGAAAATGATCGACAGACAACCATTAGTTGCAGTCTCGTTTTTAACCCTAGAGCAGAACTTCAGCTCTTTAACACCCTTTTCTTATTGAGTTGTGGAGGTCTTAAAGGCTCGAGTCTGGCTAGTAGTGGATTTACCGCTACCAATTGATTATGCCTGCATATTTAATAGGCCATTTGGTTTTCATATTATGCAATAAATTCCATTTTAAAAAGCTCTAGCCTCAAATAAACCTAGTTCCTAGAATATGTGCTAGTTTCTTTTCTGGCTAAGTTTAATTGGCTATGGATACTCGTCGCTGGACTAACTGGAATAGAAGTGCTGATTTGTTAATTTAACAAACAGATGGTGGATTTTTCCTACGTAGTTTAGAGCATACATTTCCCAGAGTATAGGTGTCTTGGACATCTCCAGCCTCATAACAAGAAGCAGACAACATGTAATCGTCCAACAGTTACAGTTTATGGGTAGGATACAAAAATGTACACATGGGAGGCACTGTTTAGCCTGGCACTGTTATGTTAGGTGGAGGAGGGATAGGAGAGGTCAAGGTGAAGACTGACACACATATACATATCTCCCAACATATACACTGATTTCCTGTGTAATATTTCAAAGCCATATACTTTTAAGGGGGCCAAGAGTCCTGATTCTGGGTTGGTTTTATAGCCCAGCAGGTGGTCAGGGGTCAGAGAGGGTATACTTGAGATTTGTTCAAGCTTGTCATCATTACAGAAAAAGACTCTTGGAGTCAGCTCATTTATTCCACCTTACGACCACACTCACCTCTCTTTTCCCTCTTGCCTTGACCCATTATTCCCTTTCTGTCTTTCTTCTTAACGCTCTCATTACTAACATTGTCCAGACACAGCGCTCACATTTATATTTTCCCCATACCCTTGTTCCTGGCCATAAATTTGACCACCAATGTGCTGAATTAACTCATGCCCTATGATTTGAGGGATATCAGGGGGCTACTTTAAACCTCTGCCCCTCTCTAATATAAATATACCTGCTTTTATTCAACTTTCTATTCTCCTTGGCTCCCCAAAACATTGTAAGCACATTTGTGCTTTGAGAAATGTCTGTGGAAAAGCCCCTGTGCTGGGAGTGGAGCAATCAGAAACCATGCACACATAATGTTTATTGCTGTTGTCAGCTGGCGATGCATTTAAGTGTTCTTAAACCTCTGCGTCTGAGCCATGTGTGGTTTGCTGCTCTGTGAAAACTTAATGGAACAAAATGAGCTCAACCCAAGCTCCTAATTTTTTACCTCCTAAATTTAACTCACTCTGTATTGAAAAGTCAAAGGATATTAAATTGCGCAATTTTTTTATTGTGCTACATGTGAAAAGGAGATGTTAAACAGATAATCCTTTCAGGGACACAAGAGGCTGAAGCCTGTTCCAGCATGCATTGCTTGAGAGGTACACCGTGAATAGGTTGCACATCTATACCACATGTAGACAGACAAACACATTCACACTTCAGGACAGTTTAGAGTTTCTCATGCATTGTGTTTATAGTAAATACAGAATCATTATGGGGTGGGATAATGTTCAAGAGGTGATTCGCTCTGGCTCAAAGACTCAGCTTTGTAAGGAATAAAATGGGATGAAGATGTTATGTGATGTGTGATTCCCACTTTCCTCTCCCTTTCCCCTCCCTCTTCCCAACTGGCTCCAAATGAGTCGATGGAATAGAGGTTATATGAGAGTCTCACTGCGGTGGTCGGCTGTCTTTGTGCAGAGTTGGCTGACATCATTCTCACAGGGGGTGGGGGGTGTTAGCTGGGGCAGGGCAGGGCTTGGAGGTCTACAGCTGAGCTAGCTTCCTGTGAAAGCTGGAGAAGTATATATCTTGGTTTTACACAGTTTTTAAGTGCCTGTCATCTGAAATTCTCCTCAATCATGATGCACTAATGATGTCTTCCTTTCTTGTTTGCAGCACTGGGATGATTTTGATGGAGTGAGACATTGCTGTCAAGGGAAATCTACAAGAAAGCTGATATCTAGGTTAGGACAATTGAAGTAGCAACTTGGAATCTTCTCACCTGCATTCGAACCCTGAACTGAATTGAACTGCATAATGGATGGAATAGACACCTTGCAGAGCTCGGCCCCAGAGACCAAGGCTGAGCGAATTGCTCGCTATAAGGCAGAGAGGAGAAGGGAGCTTGCCGAGCGCTATGGCAACACAGATGAATTCACCTCCAAATATGTCCGCAGGGACAGGAAAATTGTCGACACATCCGAAACAGTGTCTTCAGAAGCCAAGGAGAAGGTAAAATGTGAGGATAATGGATCAGAGCAAACTTATACCAGGAGGGGCCTCAGGAATAAAGTAGCAGAACCTGCTGATGAGCCTGCCCAGGAAAAAGAGGGTACTACTCAGACAGACACAATTTTGTCCTCTAAATCAGAAGCTGTCTCCTCCAATAAGATGCCCTCTCACTTCAGGTAAGTTTATTCACATTGTCACGAGATAAAGATAAAGCACACCTCTGTTGCCTGTTGTTTGTGCAAGACCAGTCAGAGTGTTGTGACAGAAACTTGGCCAGAGACATGAACCACAAAGCTGCCCAGGCATGGAGACTCAGAGGGCTGGTGCAAATGGAGCCCAGGCAAACATCTCAGGAAAAACATTTATTATTTAGATATTCTTATATGTATCTCAGTTTGGACTCTAGTAATAGTACAGGCAGAGTGCTGAGTAGCCATTCAGTCTATACACACCCGACTTACAAGTAAATCTTCTTAAACGTGGAGCATAATGTTCAGATCAGTACTAACCGTAATTGAATCAAGTATAGGGGTTCTTTTCTGTGACATCCCTTGATTTAGAGAACCTGTGCAGTTTAGCTAGTAAAGATGACTGTTAGATTACTGTAAAAAAGGCTTGCTGGCTCCTAATGAGTGAAGAGGAGGCAACAAGTCGGCACATTTGGAGAACACTTAGTGCTATCTTTGTTTGAAGTAAACATGGCTGCTAACATTTCCAAAATTGGCCATGTGTGCAAGCAGAGGACTGCCTCATTTATTTTGCCATGGTATGTTCTGCACTGATGACATGCAAGCAGCTTGTTTTGGTTCACTTTACAGTGATACGGGGGGGGGGGGTACTCGAATTGTTTAACACATCTGAAAATAACAAACTGGATTGTCAGAATGACTTCGAGGAGATTTCTCAGTGGTTGCCAGGAATGTTCTTCTGAGATTTGGACATAGATGGAGTAAAACATGACCAGTCTTGGGTTTGGGGATGTTTGAGCTGTAATCAAGCTGAGGATGTTGCTGTGTGCACATAGTCAGACATGTTTGTTCTTGAAAAACAGCCTGAGGGAATGACGATAGACAGAAGAAGAACTGAGATGGGCCGAGTCTTCAGATAATGTCAAAAGATTGGGGCTTATTAGGGTAGGCTATATTGGGCTCTGCCAGGTTTGCATGCCCTGCACTTAATGAAGCAAGACATCTTGACAGCAGTGATTGATAGCTTGTTAGATATTATGGACCAATTACTTTGTAAGATTGGGAAAGACATGTTGTAATAGGCTGGCAAAAGAAATGGAGAATATTATGGAATGTTTCAGCAAATCTCAGCAAATCTCAGTTATCAAGTGTTCTACTACTAATCTCTCATGGCAAAGCTTTGGTTTAATTTTTTAATATGAGCACACTTATGTCAATAATGTGTTTAGTCAATTTTGTATTAAAAATATGTTTTAAAAAAAAGTATTTTAAAGCAACATTTCTTCATTGTGGATATGGAGGACATTTTGAGAATGTGAGAAAAGAACTGTTTTCATACGGCGTCAGTTTACCACAGCAGAAGGAATATTTGAAAAATACAGAGTAAAGTCACACAAAATGTTATTGACTACATTCCACATTACAGACAGCGGGTTGACGATTGATGTGTTTGTCTCGCATGCCTGTCACGTTAGCTACTAATCTTGTCAGTTTTGTTATGACGTTAGCTGCATGTCACAGTCCAGCTGTGCAGTCTCGTGCGCAGGCACACTTATTCAACATACAAACATACACAGAGGAGGCTATATAAAACCTATTGTTATTACCCAATCACTTGTCAGCTAATCCCCATAAATTAGTGGTATATTTACGCTTTGTTTTTTCACCCATCCTGTCGAAGGATCTTTACAGATCATTCTGAAATGTATATTAATATACTAGAATCATCACTGAATCTCTCTGGGCAACATGTTTGTGCCTGTTACAAGAATAGCATAAAGGAAACTGGAACTCAGCTGTTCCTGTGATAATGAAAACTGTCTGTCAACAAGTTTATCAGCCACAGACAAGAATCCTTCCCTTTGTAATGCTACAGCTGAAGGGTGACATTCCAAAGCATGAGTTTTGAGACTTAACAATTACTGTTTAAAACTCAGTCTTTTAAGAAAATACAGATTCTGCACCATCCATTACTTGACTTGTTACTCGTTAATATAAATGTAATCTCAGCTTTCTGGTTGCTTTAATCTCATATCAAAGACACACAGATCTACAGCCTTGGTCTGGTTGGTAGTGTTACTGAACTGTAGTAAGTGCACTGTTTGTACAAATGTGATTCTTTATCTAATACATTCTGTATGTACATATACTTGCAGTGCGTCATGAGACATCATCATACATTTTGATAATTTTGACAAAAGTAAGATTATGGAGTTGGGAAGATTTATTAAATTAACTGCACACAAAACTGGAGATGAAGCTGTTTTAAGTATCAATACTTCGATACTTATTCAATACCAACATGTTTAGAATGATATAATACTATTATTCATTAGTATAAAATGTTATGCATGTTACATAATGTGCGATAGTAAATACAGTTGATTCGTAGAAGATTTTATTCCCTTTTTTTAATCTATAGTGTGAATGGTGTATTGTAATATTTTAGGTTTGATGTTGTTAGGCATGTCGTATAACACCAGTAATTGTGCTCCTGGCACGTTGGGGTTAGCCAGTTGAATTATAAACAGGACTGAATGGGATTTAGGCTAATTATTGTTTACATTGCTGAACCAGTACCTGCCGTATGAAGAACCAAGCTTTCCAACACATGAGCGCACAAATTAGAGACATTAAAATGAAATCTTTTAACTACGCCACAGTGCTGATTATATCCTTTCTGTAATGGTGCTTCATCCGCTCTCCCGTTTTACTGTCTCACTTATTGCTTTGTGTGTATGACAGAATTGAAATGAGCAAAAGTGAGGAAGTTTACTGTAAGTGTTTGATTAATGGCTCGCCTGCTTTGATTTGAATGTGTGTATAACTTTTCCCTCTTCAACTTCCCCCATTGCTCTGTCTGTACTGCTGTTGCTCTCCATGTCCTCTCTCTGCACTGCACTCCAATCTTCTTCTCTGGTTAGTTTTTATGGCAGAGTATGACCGACTCGTGCATCCCCTCCTCTTTCAGCCAGCATTAAGAATGCGGGTGGGGTTGATGAAGTGTCACTGAGCGCTGTGGTTGCAGACGAAGGTGTTCGAGAACTAGGTGCCATCAGTCACTGAGATCTCCATGGTCTGCAAACACTCTTTCTAGTAGCTGAACGTTGCATATTGTAATGTTTTACCCATGTGGCTAAAGTTAAATAAATTATGTGACACTGTGTAATCATTTACAATTCCTGTCTATATCACATAACCACAGTTTGCTCTGTTTTACATTCCTTTAATTATTTTTACACCTACATCAATTTGTGATCTTCCATCTCCAACTACACCAAATTCACACACCATAAATACCTTGGCCAATCATTCCCCACTATATCACAAATCTGTACTGAGGCGTGCCAGCCCAAAACTGTCAACTTTCCGTGGTAGCCAAACCCAAGCCCAAAATTACTCATAATAATATACTGCTGTAAATATTACTTTTCAAAAGTGTTTTGGGACTCAAACATGACACCAGTCCAAAGAGAAGTCAGACAATATTGAGTCATATCCAATATTTAGTTATATTTTAGTTTTTTCCTACATAATACAGCTGCACAGTCTTTACTAAAAAGGCCAGTATACGCCATCAGCAGTGCATGTTGCACGGTTGGAACACCTTTCCAACATCTCAATTCGGGGGTCACTGTATTCAACAAATTCTGTAATTTTTCAACATTCTCACCCACTTGGGTGACCCACCCACACGTGATTGGCCATGTGTGTGGAGGCGAGAGAGTAAGTAGCGTTTGAACTTCTTTTTCTAGCTCTCTTTTTACATTCTCAAACACAACTATTTATGTCTACTTCTCGTATGAATGTCTTCCAGGACAGACTGTCTGAAATGATGTGCCATTATCCCCATATAAGTAAAATATTGTGTCTCACTCCTCTTTATGATGACCAGCTTTTTACTTCGCCTCAGTGTGTGGCCTTTTTGAACAGCTATAAACACTTTTGCCCTCTGTTAGCATAACCTGATCCTAAGTTTCACAGCTAAATAACTCAAGAAATATAAACTGTATCACTATAATAATGGATTTAATGTCCTGTAATATGTTGCATAATATGAGGTTTGGTTCAACTGCATTGCTCACGGACTGATTGTGATATGGTTAATTGAAACTTCTTTCTGCGCTTTGTTTATTTTGTGCACTCCAGTTCATTTGCTCACAGCGTTGCATGGCTGCACTTTTAATGGCGCACAGTGCACTATATCAAGGCAAACTTAGACTTAGACTTCTCTTTCCTTGCCACAGGGCCATGCCTAATCTTCTCTGTATATCTGTATACCTTTATATATATATGCTAAACAGCCTCTACTTAACGCTGGGGCTCGAGGTTTCCGCCTCCTAAAAGGAAGTTTTTCCTTGCCACTGTAGCCAAGTGCTTGCTCATCATGGTGGGAATTGTTGGGTCTCTGTTAATAGTTTTGTAAGGAGTATAGTTAAGACCTGCTCTATATGAAAAGTGTCCTGTGACTGAAATGCATTTTGTATAGTGACTGTATTTAGCCAGTACAGATCCAATCAAAAAATGCTTGCCATCATATCCCAAAACCTGCAGATCGGCTTGGGGCCCATCTCCCCTTATTCAGTAACCTCTGACCCATCCCAGATGTCCACCACGGTTCTCTATTGTGTCTAAAGCAGTCATCTCCCCTCCTCCTGTTACATCATCACCGCTACCCCACAGGCAGCTGCTGTCCCCATCCATATTTAACGCCCATTACTTAGAGATGAATGGCTATCTTCAGATGCTACACAGTCATTGCTGTTTTATCACTGCCAACATGGGACTGGACGAGCAGCCTGAGTAAATGTTGTAGCATATCATACGAGGCACAGTAACTGGCTTTCTGCAGCTGCTGTCAGTTTGGTTTATATTGCATAATTCTTTTTAATGCGGCTTCAGTGTACATTTTTGGATTATAGTTATATATAAAGTCAACATATTTCTGTCTAGTTTGCCTCAATTGTAACAGACACGTAATTTCTGTCATCGCTTCAGTGTGTTAGAGAGTGACCTCATTTGTCTCTGTCTCTCCTAGGCTAGCGGAAACTGATGACACAGAGGAGCCAAAGGGTAAGACGAGCTCTCCACTTTCACTGCACTCAGCTCCTCTATTGTTCCGCAGACTGCTTTATCCCTGAACTCATTCAAGTTCTCTCTATTACTCAGTGTTCAAGGAATACTGAGCTCATTGCTGATGTCAGATCACCTACCTGGTTTATAGATTTTGGCTGTTTAAAACTCTGCCACTGAGGAGGAGTGAAAGAAAACAGATCTACCAATGTGTTTTGTTCGCTGTATAATTTGAAGTGAATGTTGTGCCCCAGGCGATGGTTTCCTTTTTCCAAAAAATAAGGGAGATAATGTTTGGCACGTGCCTGTAGAGTTTGGTGTGGGTGTGCGCTTTCACTTGTGTGTTTCTGCGCAAAGGTTTGATCATATGCAATTACTCTGGAAGCTTGTTTCAGCCAGCTCACATTATGAACTAATTTTGGAGCCTGCCTGCTATAGAGAGAAGAAAATGGCTAAGTTTACTCATGGGCTGCTGGCTGCTTTTCTGACTCGCATTCAGCCACCTGAGCCCACAGATTCTGTCCGTCTGTCTGTCTGTCTGCCTGCCGCCTGCATGTCTGTGTCGTTGGCCTCCTGCCTTTTCACCCATTGGTGGGCCGGCCTGTCTGTATGTGTTTCTCTGCGCATGTGTTTGATTTGGCCGTCTTGCTTTGTGCTTGCTTACTTGCCAGGCGATGATGAGTGAGTGTATTTGTGTTTGTGTTTGTGTGTGTGCTAGACGGCACAAGAGAAAGAAAGATAGTGACGGGGAGAATAGATAGGATAGGAAGGTCCCAAGAGCAAAACGCAGGGCCATTGCAGTATATCAGGAGGTTTGAAGCAGTGTTGCATAACGCGTCTTATTTACAGCGTTAACCAGGAAGTTTAAGATTAAGTCTTAATGATTCTCAAGTTTAATCAAATGAGGGGAATTAAATCAAATGAGGGGAATTACGTTGATGTTATGTTATATGCTAGTTTGCGTATCTGTTGCGTTTGACCTAGATTTTCTAACATACATTAACAAGCATACATATGTAAACGACAGAGCTGGTGTATCCATGTGCAAATAAATCAAAGGTTTTATCCAAACACTGATTAGTGTGTTCGACTGAAGTGCTTACTCACCTTCTGCCTTGGGTGGAGCTTTTTTCATTGCAGCAGCGCAGGTTCTTCCTTTTTTTCCCCCCAGTGAAATAAGTCTGATCTATGCTGAGAAATGTTGTGAAATTTAAAACAGTCACAAACAGTCAGTGGCTACTAATCATCTGCTGCATATTGTTAAAATATTGTCATAAAGTTAAAACCATGTTAACCTAATTAATTTTAATGGTTTTCTACAGTTTTACTTGACAAAATCATGTATATGTCATTGATTTAGACAAAAAATGTGATTCACAATATCTTGATGTGACAATATTGTGATTCATTTGGGAACAGAGTACGAAGTAACATTGAATACTGAAGATTTCCTTTGCTTTCGATAATTGATTATCTGTCAAACATGTCTGGTAGATTAACAGACTAGGGAGAAAAGGACCAGTGTATTTCTCTAGTTGGAGGACACGAGTAGAAATTCGACTAAAAAGACCCAAAGATTCAAGAGGAACAAAGGACAGTCAGTGTTCATCTTTATTCAAGATATGAGTGCGTGTGTGAAAGCAAAAGCGTGTGAGAGCATTGGCAGTGCATTCACATGGCTGATGGCGCTTCCTGTCCAAGCTGGCAGTGGATTCAGCGCTCTGAGCCAGAACGCCTCTCATGGTCACATCAAGGGTTTCCCCGACCCTTCAGCTATCCCACAAGCCAGCAAGTCACACACATAAACATTATGCAGAAATCCTTCGCTTTATGATTTTACACATTCAGAATTCAGCACCCAGTCTTTATAGTCTTAATGGGAGTTCAGTATGTGGCGCCTTATTTCTATTCGCATACGTGCAGACTCTGTTGGCCATTAAAAGGTCAAAGGCCCATCCAATAAGCTCTCCGCAGCTATAACTTGTCTTGACAGATGGATGAAAACACTTGTGGAGAAGTCCGTAAACTCAAGTGGAGGTTTTTCCATCTCTTGAGTTTTTCTTTTTTCTCTCTCTCCGTGTCTCTGGCTTGGATGTTAAATGGATGATGATGTAAAAAATATTGGATAGGACTCAAAACTGAGTGGAGTCACCAGTCTGCAATGCGTAATGTTTCATCACCTGAACTAAATCATGCTAAGTTCTGGACAGCAGGGGAGCTTGGAAACATAAATCAAAACTAGAGTATAATGGCCTCAACGGAACATTTTTGTTTCCATTGGAAAGGGGGAGTTTTTCAGAGACATTACTTGGATTTGTTTGTTCCTTTGTTTTCTTGGGAGGGGAATAATTTTGGCATGAAATGTCACATTGTAAAGGCAATAAAAACAGATTTCGAGTGGGAGAATGGATTTGAGTGTGCTGACTTAAGAAATTTGTGTTGTTTTGGAATACCATTAAATTTAATGGCTTCCTTTTGTTCGGATTAGAAGATAATATTCTCAGGGCTGTTTTTGATTAAAACAACTCCCATGAGGAATAATTCTCTTTCGCTCTCATATGTATTCACACACAATGTAATGGTATTCCTTTTTTTTTTTTGAAAGTCCATTGTTTCACTTTAAGCTCTGAATCCACTGAAACCATGTGACTTTTTCAAACCAATCCAGAGGCAAGGGAAATATCTCTACGTTAATTTCCTCTTCTGATCCAAAGACACATTGGAAGCACTGGAGAAGCCAATAAGGTTATATCTGGTCGCTTTTCATGTCTATATTTTCCAAGCCGTTATCCACAGAAAGGAAAACTTCCACTTGTGTGGCTCATCAATTTGAGTACAGCACCTATTGACTTTTAGTTATGTAAATGTTTGTTCAGGCATGCATTAATTTACCTGTTAAAGCTACCTTTGTGCATGTGTCTATGCTCCGTTCTGCCTTTTGCATGCAATTGTGTTCTTACAAAAAGCTAGTGTGTGTGGTTAACTATATGTGACCTCATCATCTCCCCAACCATCCACAATACATTATGTTGTGGATACCAAACACACACAGTCCGTCTTAAACCCTCATTGTAAGATGACACCCTGACTCATTATATGATACTACACTGGCAGAGTTAGGGTTAGGTTGTCTTCTCACTGTTGTATTCATGGTCAACCTTGTGCTGGTTTGTGTGTGTGTGTTTTATTCTTTTCAGTTGACGAGAAGCCTGTGGAATCAGCCAAGAGGACTTCCAAGATGTCTCTTTTTAAGGTATGGTATTTTAGGTTTGTTCTCGAACTTGGGGTTGGGGTCTTCCGGATAGCTGTGCCCGGTCACTGAGGCTAAGCTAGCGGCTCGATGGTCCGTAAATTCCTCCAATTGTATGGCCGCAGTGTCTCATTTTCTATGTCTACATATGTTAAATATAAATGATGCAACATGTGGTTGAGGAAG